GAGTCAGTGTCCCAGCCCCAGTACTCCTGCTAAACCCTCTATGAAGTGTGCACATGGAGGAAGTGCACATAAAGTTTGGAGTGCTCAGGTTACAAGCTCACAAAATCTGGAAAGCTGGAACAGTACCTGTGTCCCGCGTTGTAAGAGGATCAATCCTTGTGCTTGCAATGTTACTGCTAAAAAATAAAAAAGATAACTGCAACAAGAAATGCTTTCATATTCATGCATATATAGTAAAATATGAATTATTTTGACAGTTACACCTGAAAACCAATAAAAAAATTTTTTTTTTACAATAATCCAGTAAAATTCAAACAACAATATTAGCCGTGTAGAAGAGATATCTTGAATGAGGACATACAAAAGTACCCGTTACAAGAAAATCTTTGGGAGAATACATTTAACTGGATTTAGAAGTTTCATAGCATATTTTAGTTAGAGTTTTTTGTTTTGGTAGAGGAGAATGAACTAAAATCTTTAAAAACATTTTAATAAAGTGTGTCCACTTTAATTTGAGTCTCTTATTTAAAATGTGTTACCAAAATATATTTGGTTTGTTTGGTATTTTGAATTGTTTTTCATTATGAACCATTGACAGTGAAATGAGCCATTTAATACAGTAATATTGTTACAAAATTTGGTCTATTTTCTGAACAAAGCCCTTATTTATAATATTTAAATGGAAACGCTTTTACTGAACAAATAAGTATCAAACAATACATTTAATATCAAGTATTTGTCATAAATATTTATATTTCCTTTTGGAAGGTTGGGAAAATGTGATGATTTTTTTTGTACAAATAAAGTTGATGATGAAACAATGAAATTAATTTAGTTTTCAACACCTAAACCATTAAACAGTTCTCCTCTCTTTCTTTGCCTTTTAGGCTCTTTACAATCATTCGGTCATAAGGCACTTTATGCTTGAAAGCCTCTTAAGTTGTAAAAAAAAAGTTCCAGATTTCAATTAAGCATTTTTGCCAAAAAAAAAAGGCTATATGTAAAAGACTTGGATGAAAAAAAAATCAAAAAAATCCTTTTTTTGATAAGCTATTTCTGGACCAGTGTAATGCTTTGTAAATTGTTCCGAATCAATAATCTCTGCAGACTAGCAAGTGATGGATCTTATCTTTAACCTTGAGATAATAGGCCTCAATACACAACTCCTCTTTTGTCTTCTACTGGCTTCCTTTCTGTCTCTTGATCGATTTAAAATCATATTACTTACCGGTACCTGTTAAAAATATTTGTTACTCTTAGGTGTTTCAAGACCCCGAATAAAATATTAATATAATCTCAGAAGCATTACTAGTTAATTAATAGATACTTGGACAATTAACTCTTGCTGCTTAAATCCAATATTTTCTTTATTCTAACAGTAAAAACTATGCGGTGGTATTTATACTTTTTTAATATTTTTCTTTTGCTCTTATTTTTCTTAACTTAAAAACTGACAGTAAAGCACTCTGGACAGACCAGTTTTTTTTTTGTTTTTTTTTTAGTTAAACTGACTGCCTACTTTACTCCTACTCATGTTTGGACCTTTTGACCTTTAGAACTGCCTACATGTTTTATGGCGTAGATTTAACGAGAGTAAACAGACACTCCTCTACAATTGTGGTTCATATTGACATATATAATTACTTCTGATTTGATAGCTGCATATTCTCTCACCCAGATCCCCTGTTCCTCCATGGAATCTGGTAACTTTTAAAGGAAAAGTCCGGTCAGCAAGAAATAATCAATGGATCATCATCTATACCTAGAACTAATACTTTTGTGGTGATTTAATGAATATAGCCTTAATCAGTAAAAAAATAAAATAAATGAAAATGATCATTTTTGTCATGATCACTAAGTCAGGGAGAGGCCATTTTTGCCCAAATATAGTAACACCTCACTCCTCACATCTTCCGGTAATGACGTCACTGTGCTGTAAGCATATAGCCATTCTCCCCCCTTTACAAGCAAAATCAGTGGCAGCTACTAGACCCATTTGCAATCGACAACAATTATTTTATATTTTGAGAGGACTTCACAATTGAAATTCGCGAAAGCTATAGTTAAACTGACAATGCCCACGTGTATGGCAGTTGGATGTTGTAATACATCGGGTAAAAGTGAAAAAAAAAAATGTTATTTCACCGTTCTGATTCATGATCCACCACGGGTTCGTAATGGGATTGCCAACTTGAAGAGGGAGGATTTGCCATCAAACTTCTGGACAGAGAAAAAACAGGTAATATGTAGCCAACATTTCGAAGAAGTTTTTAAAAAGGACTTTGATAATAGCGTGTTGTGACAAACACCAGATAAAGCACTGGAACTTGATCGACAGCCGATGCATGGATGTCTCCAGTAAAGCACATTCAAATTAAACTTACTCTTAATTTAAAAACACTTTACGCTTTTATTGAACAGTATGTAATAAAGACTTTTCCTTTGGAGCCCATTGAAAACTTTGTTATAGTCAGTAACTCTGTTTGATTTCATTTTGATGTTGCACGTTTTCTTGCTATGGATAGCATTTATTGCTATGTGTCACAGGCCATAAAGGGCGATGCTGTTTAAGTGATCCTCAGTTGGTCCAAAGAGACTGAAATAAAAATATTCTACTCATCGTTACACCGCTGCTACCAGTCTGAACGCTTGATGCAAAGCAGAAGATTTATACTTAAATACTAAATTTTGACCCATCATCTATATGTTCCAGCTGAAATTAAGGCTTGTCAAACAAGGATATGTGTTTTCATCTGATACGTCAAATTTGGATGAACATGTATAAATTATAACCTAAGTTTGCTGGAATTGATTAATAGGAGTTGTAGATTATGTGTTTCCATGTTGCTTATACTGAAGTATTCAGGATAATTTATTGAAATAAAGGCTTTGTTTTTTTGTTTTTGTTTTTTTCTTGCCTTTGTATTAGTTAAAAGCTTTTGACACAACTGCTGCTCATTGGATCTTTACTGTTCTGTAGAGCATTTCTCTGTAGACTCTTTCGGAGGTTTGTGAATTAAAATATCAATAGTTCAGAAGTTTCTAAAAATAATCTGACTGGCAGTCTGAGTGTTTTAAAGGAAGGAATTAAGGGGGTAGTTTGAAATGTTAACGTATTAGTATAATTGTTTTAAGTAAAGATAATGAAACAATTGAATCTGTTGGCTTCCTTTTTTTATATAAAAAAAAGGAAGCCAACTCAAGCTTCAACACTTCCACAGCTGAGATCAGGACTTTATTCAATTGTTTTATTATCATGTGATCTTTACTGTATGACCGGTGTCAGAGCCTGGTCCTCATTGCCGGCAGTAAGTCAGACTCGTTTCCGGTGAGGGTTGGACTCCGCGAAGGTTGCCCTTTGTCACTGATTCTGTTCATAACTTTCATGGACAGAATTTCCAGCCACAGCCAAGGTGATGAGGGGATCCGTCTTGGTGTCCTTAGGATTGCGTGATTTACAGCTGTAACTTGAGCGGTTCGCAGCCGAGTGCGAAGCGGCCGGGATAAGGATCGGTGCCTCCAAATTCGAGACCATGGTCTTGAACCGGAAGAGGGTAGAGTGCCTTCTCCAAAATGGGGAGGATGTACTGCCCCTAGTGGAGGAGTTTAAGTATCTTGGGGTGTGGTTCACGAATGAGGGGAAGATGGAGCGGGAGATCGATAGGCGGATTGGTGCGGCGTCTGCTGTGAAGCGTGCACTGTACCGGTCTGTTGTGGTAAAGAGAGAGCTGAACCAAAAAGCAAAGCTCTCAATTTACCAGTCGATCTGCGTTCCTACCCCCATCTGTGGTCATGAGCTTTGGGTCATGACCGACAGAACGACATCCCGGATTCAAGCGGCTAAAATGAGTTTCTCTGACTGAGGAGCTCAGTCATCCGGGGAGGACTCATAGTAGAGCCGCTGCTCCTCCACATCGAGAGGAGCCAGTTGAGGTAGCTTTGGCATCTGACCAGGATGCCTTCTGGACCTCTCCCTGGTGAGATGTTCCAGGCACGTCCCACCGGGAGGAGGCCCAGGGGGAGACCCAGGACATACTGGAGGGACTATGTTTCTCGGCTGGCCTGGGAGCACCTTGGGATTCCCCCGGAGCAGCTGGCCTAAGTGGCTGGGGAGAGCGACACCTGGGCTTCCCTACTGAAGCTGCTACCCCCGCGACCCAACCCTGGTTAAGTGGAAGAAGATGGATGGATAGATGGATTGACGACCGGAAAAATAGCTTAAGTGGAAAACCCTGAACATATCCCACAGCACTTTATATTTTTGGAAAAAGCTGTAAAGTCATTTTCTCAGTTGTTTATTAACGGACGCCACTGACATAATGTATTTCACTATTACCCTTGTGCTGGAGTCAAGTCCTTTTAACCAGTAATGTGTATTCTTTCAAGTGAAAAAAATATCAACTAAGGCTTAAACTATTTGCATTTGATGATTTCTGGAAGCTTTTTTATTTAAAAGCTGTTTTTCCATTTCTCAACAGAGAAAAAATGTTCTCTATTATGATAAAATAATTATATTGTAGTTTACAAATGTAAACATTTATACCCAGCCAATTGGAGGATAATTTCCAAAAAGTTTTTAATAAACATTGTGTGAATTACACAGAAATGCTTTATTTTTATTAGAGTTTCTAAAGCTTTTTTTGTATTATGTTTTTATAGAGCAACTCAACATGTGACCTTTAAATCATATTGGTCCTTGGTTATCGATGAAATATTTTAAATGTATTATATATTTCTAATTTTAAACATCTAGGAAAACAATCTGTTCTTTTTGAGAGTCATTCATAAAAACATTCCTAATAAATCTTAGAATAGACTAAAGTTTGATCTTATTTTTAGAAGCTCTCTAAGACTATGAACCTGTGCATCTTGTCATCACCATTTTGATTTATATTTTGCTTTTTAATCATGCATCACCTCCAGATATTGTTCATCTTGTAACTAGATAAACTAAAGTTAAAATAAAAATATTTTTCTCTCTCTCTCTGAATTTATCACAGTGCTCCAGTATGTTCTGTGCCGTGAGGTCGCCCTTCCCAATGGACCCCTTTACCGCGTTGCTGGGTTCCCTCTCTCCATCCCATGTCATGTGTCCGGATATGAAGGATCACGTACCCAGGAGTTTGAGTGGTTCCTCTACAGGGAAGATTCCGGTGGAAGGCAGATGGGAGTGGTGTCCACCAGAGATAAAGGTTTCCCTTATACCCCTTTCCAGGCCAGAGTGAGGAACGGGGAGGTCAGGGTGGAAAGGGATTCTGGGGATAAGGTCCGACTGGTGATCCAGAGGCTTCGGGTCGAAGACCAAGGAAAATATGAGTGTTATACACCAAGCACGGACACTACCTACCAGGGAAATTACAGTGGCTCAGTTACTGTCAAAGGTAAGACCAGCAAATCCAAGTTTCTTTCTCTTTCTTGAACGTTTGATCTTGAAAAACTCAACAGAGTCTTTTATAGAAACTACATTAAAGCATGTACAGCGGGTGAACACGCTACAATTTTTCTCTGTAAAAATATTTCTAGAGGTGCTGTTGACATGACATTTTCACCAGATGTCGGTAACAATCCATGCAATCCACACATACAAAGAAATCAAACCACAGATGCCCAGAAATGAAGTTATGTGTAATAAAGTGAAATGGCACAGCGTAAAAGTGTTGAATAGACTAACTGAAAATGATTTAAAGCTTTTTACAAAAGCCTTTGTTGGCAATGACAGCTTCAAGATGCCTCCTGTTTGGAGAAATTAGTTGCATGCATTGCTTAGGTTTGATTGTGGCCCATCCTTCCACACAAGCAGTCTTCAGATCTTGGAGGTTCCATGGTCCTCTTCTGATCTTTAGTTCTTTTAGTAGATTTTCTGCTGGATTCAAGTCAGGTGATTAGCTGAGCCATTTTAGCAGCTTTATTTTCTTTCTCTGAAACCAATGGAGAGTTTCCTTGTAAATGTCCACCCACGTTTCATCTTCATCATCCTGTCAGATGGCAGCAGATTTTTATCAAGAATGTCTCCCTACATTTTTCCACTAATCCTTCCTTCAATTATTTGAAGTTTACCAGTACCATATGCTGACAAACAGCCCTACTCAATGATGTTTCCACCTCCGAACTTTACTGTTGGTATAGTGTTCTTAGGGTGATCTGCAGTGTCATTTGACCTTCAAACATAATGTATATTATGGCATCCAAAGAGTTAAATTTAGGTCTCATCTGTCCAGACTATATTCTCCCAGTATTTCATAGGCTTGTCTAAATGTGCTGCAGCAAACTTTAAATGAGCTTTAACGTGCTTTTTCTTCAGCAATGGAGTCTTGCATGGTGAGCTTGTACACATGCCATAGTGGTTGAGACCATTACTCATTGTTTTCTTTGAACAATTCTACCTGCTAATTCCATGTCATTCTGGAGCTCTCCAAGAGTTCTTTAACTCTTAGACAACTATTCTGATAATTCTTTTCACTCCACTGTCAGAAATCTTGAGAGGAGAATCTGGAAATGGTTGGTTTATTATGAAATTATGTTCTTGCTGCCTCCAGATTATGGCCACAACAATTCCTAACTGGAACATTCAGAAGTTTAGAAATCCTTATGTAACCAATCCCATCATTAAGATTAAAAAAAATAAGGTTGGGAAGGTCTTGATAAAGCTCTTTGCTTTTACCCAACATGAGATGTTTCTTTTGTGACACCTTTTATAGACCATCATTCGGCACTGAACCAGCTGATAATCATTTGCACTGACGAGGGGCAGGATTGCTTTCTAATTACTGAGAGATTTCGGCTGCAGTCTTGGTTTTCCATCCCTTCCTTTCCTTTCTTCACGTGTGCAATACCTTATCCCTGTGCCATTTCCCTTTATTAAACTTAATTTCTGGAGATCTATGGTTTGATTTCTTTGTATGTGTGAATTCCACGGATTGTTACCGACATCTGGTGAAAATGTCATGTCAATTAAAAAAGGAATTGTTTTTGCTGGTAAAGATTCTGATTGATCCAGGTCGTAGTCATTACAAAAAAGTTAAATGAAAAACAAAAAAAACAATCCACTGGACTTTGTTTTTAAGTTTGAAGAAGTTTTGCTTCCCCTTATCATCAGTTCTATACCTAAGTAACACTTTTGCCAATTTTTGATAGAAAATCTGTTAATGCTTTTCCTAGGAAAAACAATTCTTAAAATTATCTTTCTTTTTTAGAAATGGAAAAGCTCTCGTTGTTACTAGACAGTATTCTTAGTTTAACTGTGATGAACATCAGCATGGAAAATACTTAAGTGCGACATATTCATGCTGTTGTGGAGATTACATGGTGAGAAGATCTTATCAGCAGTTGAGCGTTGCATCGACGCGATGCATGTTTGTTAATAATGGGAATCAGGGTTTGACTCGGTTCACAGCAGCATTCCTCACTCTAGTTCATTGACTCGTTACTGTCCATCTAGCTTTTTGTGCTTGACAGCCACCAGGTAAAAACACAGTGCAAACAGTTGCCTACCCTCTTATATGTTTTATTTCTTTTTGTCAAATTTAAATGTTTTAGACCATTGCAGAAATGTAAGTATTGGACAAATATATATTGAGTAAATAAAAACTTTTTTAGGGCAAAAAAGAAGCCTGTTCTAACCAACCTGGCCCTGAGTGTAAAAGTGATAAAATGCTTTGATATTCTTGGTGCGGAAACTCATCCATTAGGTAACAAAACAGAACATGCAGAAGTAAAATTAACTTTCTGTTAGTCTCACATCAGTGTTTACAACCTAGCAACACAAAGGACACCAAAACACACCAATGACAGGGATAGAACCACTGCTGACCCAAATCCACTTAAATGCCATCTTGATTATCCCCAACTGTTTGATAAAAAAAAATATATGTACTTACAAGACAAAAGAAGAGATTTTTTTTTTTTATAGTATAGGTCTGATTAAACCAAGTACAAAATAAAAACACTTTATTAAATCAGCAGTCAAACATGATGGTGGGGGTATGGTGGTGGGGGCTGCTTCCGGACCTGGACCACTTACTGAAATGTAAATAGTCCCTATATATCCTAAAAGGCATTCTCCAGTAATCAGTTTGAGAGCTTAAGATTAACCAACTTAGAGTATACACAAGAACTATTATCATAGGCACACGGGGACATTTCATGTAATATATTAAGGTTTTGGATCTGCCTGATTAAAGTTTAGACTTGAAATGAGTTGAGATGTGGTGTCATAACCATAATAAGGACATTTATGCTTCAGAACATTTTCAAATGGGCTTAAATAAAATAAAAAAAATTAATAAATTGGGATAAAAAATGTGTCCGCAGTTTCGATGGCAGTTATTGTTACAGAGGACAGGGGGATCAGTTATACAGTGGGTACGTAAAGTATTCAAACCCCTTTAGATTTTTCATTTTTTGTTTCATTGCAGCCATTTGCTAAATCAAAAAAGTTCATTTTATTTCTCATTAATGTACACTCAGCACCCCATTAATGTACACTCAGCACCCCATCGTGACAGAAAAAAAAAAAAATTTGCAAAAAGAAAAACTGAAATATCAAATGGTCATAAGTATTCAAACCCTTTGCTGTGACACTAATATATTTAACTCCCATGCCGTCCATTTCTTCTGATCCTCCTTGAGATGGTTGTCCTCCGTCCAGCTGTGTTTAATTAAACTGATTGGGCTTGATTAGGAAAGGAACACACCTGTCTATATTAGACCCTACAGCTCACAGTGCATGTCAGAATAAAATGAGAATCAGGAGGTTTCCACCTAATAAATAAAACCATGATTTTCAAACTGGGTTTTTTATTTACCCTGTTTTTCTTTATTGTCACCCAAATTTTATCACATTAAAATTCAATGATCTTAAACTAGGGTTTCCGCAGCTCATTAAAAATCATTAAAAGTCATTCAATTATTTTTTTAAATTAAGGCCTTAATTGGCATTAAAATTCATTAAATGTGTCTATTGTGGCATTTAAAATGCTTTATTAAAAAAAAAAAGTTTATAAAAGCAATTTTGTCAGACATATTATATCACGATATATTTGCATGGAACTGCTTGATCGCAAAGCTGTATATTCAGAAAAGAAGCTTGAGTCGGAGAAAAAGCTAGAGAATGTATTAAAATGATTTCTAAGAACATTAAAAAGCATTAAGGTAGAGTTATTCATTCCTGTACAAACCCTGTAAACCTATGAGTGTAACAAAGGCAAGACGACAAACACAAAAAAAATTTTTTTATAAAACTTTTTCAGAAGAGTCTTTCTGATGTTGAGAAGATTAAAATTCTGTCTTTTTGTCGTCCCTCAGTGATTCCAGACTCTCTCCAAATCAGCTATACTCGCTCCCTAACCAGCCAGCCTGTCCCAGAAGGAGCTGAATTAACTTTGACATGCTCGTCCAGCATCCGGTCTGAGCAGCTCACCCATCTGTCCATCACGTTCGGAAAGCGTGACGGAGGAGAGCGTTCAGACAGCGGAGCTGGAGGCGAAGTCAGCACCATAAGAGAGATCATCTCCATCGACAGGCTTCTGGGTGTTGTTCCAGGACGGTTCTACAAGAAACGCTACGATGATGGAGAGATCACACTGCAGAAGAGGAACGGAGAGGGCGGACAGGGGTTGTACGTGATGAAGATGAAGGCCGTGCAGCCTGATGATGCTGGGTCGTACTTCTGTGAGGCCTCGCAATGGATTCGGGACCCTGATCGCACATGGCAGAGGATCGCTCAAAGAACCCTGGATATCGGCAACTTAACAGTTCAGCCACTAGGTAAGCTGATACATTATAGCAGGGTTTGTGTTGCAACTAAACATCAAATAGTAACAGTCCCACAACACAACTGATGATGGATTTTGTTTTAGAAAGAACCCCTTAAAGAATGTTGGAGCTTTAATTTCCACTTCTTTGCCTGTAGGAAATAACTGGTGTTTACTTCTAAATAACTTTAAAGACGATGACTATAAAACAGGTTTAACAGCAAATTAGTCCTAGACTGAGAAGATTGTGTAGATTACAGGGCTGGGGACAAAGGAATAAGGAAATTAGCTCAGTATTATGGGTTTACAGCTAGATGTAATGTTTGCAAAGGAGACTCATTGTATGAAGTTAGCTGTAAAACTGTAAAAATAATGTAGAATGTAAGGTTTAACCACATGCATACACTGTACCGAGATAACTGACAGATTTTTTAATATCTCATATCTTTGAGGCTCACAGTGTCAGTGAATAATCTGTTAATTTCCTATGTAACTGTTTTCAGAGAAAGAAAGGAGCATTTTCCCTTTTTTTCCAATAAATGACAGGTAACAGAAAAAGGAGAAAATCAATTTGAATGTTTGGAAATAATTTGATGCAAAGTAAGGCTTCGAGGATAGAAAGAGGTAAAATTACATAAGTCTGTAAAGAGTTATCAGAAGTGAGAGCTCAAATAAAGGATGAACATACTGTAATCCCCTTTTTCGCAAACAGAACTGAGAATAATCAGCCAGCACACAGAGGTTTAAAGGCTGTGGGCCTCATGAACAAAACAGATGAAGCCTTTATACTGAAAGTTTGCAGAAGGGAGGAATTCTATAATTTCCGACAAAAACTTCTCATCTACAAACAAGAAATATGTTCATAAATCCCAATATGCATGGAATTAACCTCTGCGTGCATTTTTGTCCACCTCGCTCAGCCCCTAGCTACAAATAAAAAAAAAATCTATAGTATTACCCTGATAGACCCACCATTGGTCAAAATAACCTTGGTAACTGTGCTGACGCTCCATCCCAGAGGCTTTGTTAACAGACCTCAGTGATAACACAACCGGCAATTTAATGAGTAACAGAGACTCACTAAATCAAATAGCTGAAATAGAAAGATATAAAGATATACATTCATCATTCAACAGAAAAAAATCTGTAGCCATTTTTTTGTTTTAAATTGTTTGTGTCAAGCCCGAACTGTTGTGTCGAACCGCCGCATTAAGCTCAATTATTGTAATGTCTCTAAATTATTATAATTCATATGAATATGTGAATTTATATGTGGAAGTATAATTAATGTTTAAAACAATTCAGGTAATCACAAACATGGTTACTATAATACTATATAAACTATAATAATTATAAGTTATAAACTGCGTTATATTGTTTACTTAAGCATACTTATTGTAGTCCATTAGAAGTAAAGAGCATCATTAAACAGAAAATGGAAAAAGATGCAGAGGGAAGTAGGAAAGATGAGAGGAGGGGAAAACAGAAGAGAAGACACAAAAATATATCAAGACTCAGATTTGGACACACTGGATTACAGCTCACTCTTTAGAATAGGGAAACATCACTCAGGAAATTGTGACTAAAAAGAAACTGTAGAGCATACAATGTTACGTTGTAGAAAACATGTCAAAGATAGATACATTTTAATACCAAACCTTGAAAAGACAAAGATATAATAAATATAAGGTTTAGGTAACAAGAAATGTTATCATTTAATACTGCAGTTTCTTCAGAATACTGGCTTATTAGATAGCGTTTAATTTATTTATATATCAAGTTTATTATGTTCTTTTCCTGCTAATTATTTAGTTTATTTTGAATTGGGGTATTAGAGTCCAGTTGGTGGCGGTAATGCACCTTCAAGTTGTTTGCAAACCACCATAAAACATCACAAGAAGAAGGAGAGAGAAGCACATCAAGATTACAGCTACTTTTCATAAATGTCATATTTCCCTGTGGTTAGTTGACATTTGCTGCCTTATAGTTTCTTGTTTGACTGAAAAAGTTTGCCTTGCTGCTGCACATTTTCAACTACCATACACTTCAACATAACGTTCATTTTTAAACATGACGTTTGGGATTAAAATGTGGTGATTTTTTTTTGTGTGTGTGTCTATGCACGCCTGGTACATGAGGCCTCATTAAATCCCAACAACACCCCAGCCGGTCTAGTTTAACCTCTGTTCTTCTCTGAGTATTTGGACACTTTCCAAGTTCTAGGTACTCTAGGTTTGAATTAGAGGAACGTTAAAAGAGCGCTTGGCTGTCAGGTTAAATTACAGGTTGGTTGGCTGACATGGGAGCTGGATTGGAGCTCGTCTGCCTGGCTGTGTGTTTCCTGTATGGGCTGCCTTTTACAGTTGCCTTTTGTATCTCTACTTCTTTCTCTCTGTTTGCTTGTGTCTCCTTGAACCCCAGCGGCCTCGGCAGATAGCTGCTCACACTGAGCCTGGTTCTGCTGCAGGTTTCTTCCTGTTGAAAGGGAGTTTTTCCTCTCCACCTTCGCAACAAGCATGCTTAGTGTGAGGGATTGCATTCGAGTCAATGACTCCATGCAATCAACTGGTTTTCCTTAGGTAGAAAACTTTGAATCAATTTGACTGTATGGTCTGGTGAACTGTAAAGTGCCTTGAAATGACATGTGTTGTGAATTGTCGCTACATAACTAAACTGAAATGAATTGTTTAGTTTGGACAAAGAATAGTTTATGGAAATTAATAAGGTGAATAAGGTGAAAAAAATGAAAATGCATTATAAGATAATTCACCATACAGAAATAAAAAATAAAATTTAAGAAATCGTTCTGAATGAATTTCCTGGAAGTCTGTTCATTTGGTGCCCCGACAGTGATATCTCATGACTGACAGGCTGCGTACACTGGCCTCCCATCGCTAAACCAGCTGGATTTATAAATCAATAGCCGATTGCCCGTATGACTGCCTCTGGCCTTGCAGCGCTTCTAAAGGATTATATAATCTTTTTTTCCCACCTTGGCCTCTTTTTGCCTGCAGAGAGGATAACTTTCTGTCAGGCTAACATGTTCATTATTTTTTTAGATAACCACTGCTGTGGCGGATAATCTTTTCTTTAAACATATTTTTTCTCACCCTGCAAAAATGGAAAATCCCCTTATAGCATTTGGTAAAAGGTATTTTGTAAGCATATGTTCATCCGATGTAGTGAATGTAGACTTGTTATGATGATTTTAATGTCAATTAAATTATTTATTTTGTTTTATTTTGTTATGCTGCATAAAGGGGCTATCAGGTGTTTCTTTACACCACGAATATTTGCATCCAGTCTCTGCGATAAGATTGAGGTCACAATGAAAGCTTATGAGTGCTTGCATTGTTTTCCTTCCTAACAACACTCACTGACTTGCTCCATGCTATTATACATTCATTGTTTGCCTCTTGGTACTAATACAATGGTCTTTTTTTGTTTATATAATTGATGCATCTTTTTTTCTAAAGGCATCCCGTTTCAGCAGTAAACAAGTCTTTGCACAGACAGTAAAAATATGGGTTAATTATTATTATTACGCTTGATTTTATTGACATGCAGACTAAGTGAATAAAAAGTGGATTTATCACATAGGCAAAGCCTCTTTAAGTTTCTTAGATCTTGTCATATTACAAATACAAACCTTCAAAGAATCACACAAAGTACTACATATGAGTAAAACGGAAGGAAGTTTCTTTTTTTTTGCTGTTTCATTTAAAAATAATAGTCTGAGAGGTGTGTGCATAGGTATACAGCCCACCGATGTGGAATCACTCTGCAAAACAGATGGATGTTAAGTATCCCAGAAAATTTTTATTTTTTTTGGCACAGTTTCCACAGTTAGTTTTAGATCTGAACTTGGGTCTATTTAACACATGGATGTGTGTTTCTTTAATGACTCATTTTAGCTCCACTCTTGCAGATGTTCTTCCAGTATTACTCAAATCTAGCATAAACTATGCAGCTTCTCTGTCCCTGAGGAAAGGCAGTCCCACAGCATGAGACTGCTACAGCTATGTTTTACAGTGGGGCTAGTGTTAGTGGGGCTAATGTTTGTTGACCTACATAACTTTGCCAAAATGGCTGGTGGCAAACCTGGGAAGGAATCTTTAATGACTTTAAAAAAAAAAAAAAAAGAATAAATTCCACCCTTTATGAAAATTTGTAGAGAGCAAATGCAATATTTGTTTTGTTTAGAGATTCACCCATCTGAACTGTATGTCTTTGTAGCTCCTCATGAGTTACAACAGGCTTCCTGGCTGCCTCTCTAATAATGGTTCTTTAATCCAAGCCATCTGCAGCTAACAACAACAATACAATATGTTCAAAGTTAAGATTTTTGAGTTAGGATCTAACTCTGCTTTAAACCTCTCAGCAACTTTATCTCTGACTTGTCTGCTGTGTTTCCTGGTCTACCTTAGCATGAACAGTTTAAACAAAGTTGTGTTTTGATCAACTCAAAAAAGAGTTTGCATTATGTAAAAAAAAACTGGAGTTGGTGGCCCGGTTAAAGTATTTTGGGGTCATGTTTGACTAAGTTAGATTATATAAAAAACACATACATCAAAAAGCGTTAAAATATAGTTAAATTTACTTTCAAATTAATAAACATATTTGACCTTTATTAGAAATCTCATACCATCCTACCCACACTGTATGATATCTCCTATTTTGAATCCTGCTTAACTGCATTGTCCTTTGTTGGTGCCACTGCACCCAAGCTATTTGAACAATTGTATTAAAAGACCATTAATGTAATTGATTAAAAGACTACGTCTTTTCACCTATTTGTAATTTTGAGAACCTTAAAGCCCTTTTTTTTCTTCAAATAATTGTCCTTTTTAGAAAGAAATAGGCCTCCATGCATAGTTAGTGGTGCAGTTTCTGAAGATCACATTAGCACAAAATGTTCTCTCTATCAAAGGCTGCTCTAATTGGAACACATTACTAATGACAGGTACCACCTACAACTCATTTAAAAACATCTTAAGGAAGGGCTTCTTGCACAGCAAAGCTGCAACCATTAGGATGAGCTCCACAAACACAGACTTATCATTTTATGTGTCAGGAGTTGGTTAGTGTGTAGAGAATGAATGGGTTGATCAGGGGCAGTAAATGCATGGCGTTGGCATCTCTGTAATCTTAGCCTGTTCATTTTAAGTAATTCCGTGTTTAATATATTAGCGTTAGTTTGGAATGCTGTTTTGTGCGTAGTGTGAAATGTTTCTTGCTGTGTTGTTTGTCTTGTATAAATTATAAGGTATATGCTCTGTGTTTTGGTGGTATGTTTTTATTACATGAAACTGCCGCCTGGAAAGTAGCCTTACGGATTTTTTTTACACCACCAGCTGTATGTTCATTAATATGCATTTTTCTTTTCGATAAACAAATTCAAAAATAAATGAAGAATAATAATTAAAGGTATCGTTGGTAATTTTCACGAATCTTGTAAAAGACCCGCCCTCTTCACAAAAAACACTGTACCGACTGCAGAGAGGGAAAGCCTATTAAACGTGTGCGAGAGCGTGCATGAGCCCATTTCTCCTCGTGCACGCTCTGTTTAAAAGTAGCTGTTTGCGTTGCTAATACAAGCTTATTTTCCAAAAGAAGATCTGCAATTTTTCCACTACGTCAGACTCACCCCCGGTACGTGAAAATAGGGATGTGAACCAGAATGATTGACAATTAGGAGGACACCTTTGATGATCCTACTGGAAAAAAGAACATCCTCCACTATACCTTTAATGGGGCTTTTTGTTTGCTTATTTAAATCAATCAGATTCCAAAAAAGAATATTGATTCTAATGGGAAATAAAATGTTGTAACTCAGCATTTTATTATTTTTCCAGTTGTTTAAGATGTTAAAAGCTGCAGACGGGTAGGAACTTTTGTAGTACCGTAGTCTGTCTTGCAGTAGATCTGGAGAAGCCTCCGACTAAAAGCACTCTGTTGTTGTTTAACAGCCTTCTGAAGAGGATGTTTGTGGTTTCCATATTCTACATAATTCTTTGTGAAAGCATCTCCAGAGGTTCTAGAGGAGTTCCTTAAAAAGGAGCTTTTTTAATCAGCTTGTTGAGCTTCTTTAGGTCATTTATTCTGATGCTGATACTTCAACAGACGATAAAGAAAGAGATCACAGCAGACTTATGGAAGAAATGCAGCATGTCACTGTAAAAGATGAAGGACCTAAGCTTCCTTAAGAGGCACAGTCTGCTCTGTCCCTTCTTGCAGACAGCTTCACAGTTGAGTCAACTGTTCAAGTGAAAGCAAAGGCATTTTTTTTCCTTCTCCACCTCCACTTCTTCTCCCATGATGGTAATGTTCTCAAAAATACCTCTGTACTCACAGAGCTGCTGGATTTATACCCAGATTCATTCACTCGCTGGTGGACTTTCTTTACTGTCGATGTGACACCTAAAGCATTTATTTTCACTGGCTTGTCTTAAAAGTAGAATGGCTGCAGTATTAATGCATTGCCCACTTCTGAGAATATTACAGCAGTAAAAGCCTTTTATTTGTAGCTGTATTGGACATTTTCACCATCATTTATTGTGGTCTCTCTATGAAGATGAGTGATATCTTTCTTCATGATAAAGGTATTAGGAATATTAGAACAAATATTTAGGATTAGAGTTTGACCAGTTGTATTTAATTAGATTTTTAATTACAATGTTTTTTTAGGCATGTAAATTACCCATTGGTGTTTAAATCAATTGAATCTCTGATTTTTCAAACATCATAAGCATCTTATTCAGCACAATAAAAGACAGACATACTGAAAGAGCCAGTCTAAATTTCTAGGAACTGCCCCCTGCAGTATCTGACTTCCTTTAAAGATGTAAATCAGAGTCCATTTGTGGCGTTGCAGTCAGAAGAGCTTTTGGTACTTAATGCTTTTCAATCTCTCTCTCTCTTTGAAGCGGAGTCTCTGGGTGTAACATCCTCGCCCAGAGGGGAGGTGACCCTTCAAGTTGGTTCCCCTCTCATCCTGACCTGTGAGGTGTTGGGTCTGGCATCTGAAGTGAACTCAGGTCTGTTGGTTCAGTGGATGAAAAGGGGATCTGTCAGTGGAGATATAGCTGGAACCGGAGGAGTAGAGGTACTGCCATTGTGTGATAAAATAATAAAGATAATTTACTATTTGTAGTGTATTTTCTGTTATATAGAGAATGTCTTTGCCTATCTATAGAATGTCAAATTTAGGTCTGAATAATATTGTTTTGATCCATTCTTTAAAATGACATGATATGTGAGAGTAATTGAGAACTTGCTGCCATTTAAGGTTGAAGTTGCTCGAATGAGCCCGGATGGTGTCGTAAGCTGGGGAGATGACCTCAGCAGAGCCAGTGGTGGCTCCATGGAGAAAGTATCAGAGGGGAAGTACTCTTTGAAGCTCTTCTCAGTCCGACCTGCAGATTCCGGGGTGTACCGCTGTGTGGTCAGTGTGTATGCTGGCAGGAAAAACCCCAGCCCTTCTACGCCTGCAACACTCACCCAAAGATCAGATGGAGTCACAGTCAACCTGAAGATCAAAGGTGAGCCTCATATAAAAAAAAAAATTGTATATATCTTTATTAAAGGAGTTTTTAGCAGAGCCAAACTAATATATAAACTAGTTTTATTTTGCCCACTAACATATTGATTGAATTGATCTTTCCTCTGTCGTTGTTTGACACATTATCCAATATAGGCAGTGGTGTCTCACAAAGGTCGCCTAACCTGCATGTTTTTGATGTTTTACTGCTTTAAAAGACCTGAATTAAAAAATAGAATGAGTTACTAGCAGGCTCCTATGGAACCTGATGATTAATTCAGGTGTTTAAAGAAAGTTTCTTGGAGCAAAAACGCATCTAAAACACACTGGATATGTCCATTGGTAACTGGTGTCAAACATCACCTGTCTCCGCTAATATGTGGCTCTTTTTCACAGAAAGCTTTAGAACTGACTGAGTCTCATTGGTTGTACTCCTCCCAATATTTCTGATCATTTAAGTCGGGGGTTTCTAAACCATTCTTGTGGCAATAGAGGGTGACTGAGGAATACAATGTCTACAAATGGAATATAATGAATAGGCTTAGCATATATTGGCTGTGCAATATAAGTTTGTGTAACTTTTCAAATCACAAAGGTCTGCCTAAAGTGCAACAGTTTTGGGCTAATGCATTCCAATTATTATGAACTTGCATTCTACTTGCTAATACAATGTTTAGCCTGATGTACAGTCACACATCAGCAGATGCTGAAACAGACACAAATTACATTATCTAAATGCTAAAGGTCATGGAAGGTTTCAATAATGAGAAAGAGAGGAAAGACGGTTTTGTAATATTGAGTCGCCCTATCTGTTTGCAAATACTCTAACTAAAGATCCATTATGCAGATATGTAAGGGGGATTTCCTGTCTCTTTTTTTTTTTTTTGTTTATTTGTTTAACTATGAAAGCCAATAAGAGTTTAGCAGTTTTTTTGAATACAATCAGCTGTGTTCAAACCTAGATATAAACTTTGTTTTTATTTATTAATTTATGATGTTGAGCTTAAGCCAAATCCTCCTAATATAAGATGGTTTCGGTTTGTGCTTTTCACATTATTTCTATTTCTCTGCTTTTTAACATAGTTTATTTTTTCCATTCATAAATCTCCCTTTTTCCACACAGAAGTTTTGGTTTCAGCTGTGGCTCAGCTCCCCCGTGGCCCCCTGCTGAAAAGAGGCAGTACCGTCACCCTAATCTGCAACACCACTGTGACGACCACAGGTCCAGTGCAGGTTCAGGTGCAGTGGCTGCGTTGGCCGATGCCTAAACCAGTCAACCCCAGGAAACCTGGGGGAGTTCAGTTGGACTCTGGAGCTGTAACACCACCCATGCTCATTGCTGCTCTAATGTATGACGGTGTAGCAAATATCTACGTCAACGACAGTGAGATCAGCATTGACCGGCTGTCTGCCATCAGCTACAGACTGAGAATCCACATGGTAACGGTGGAGGACCAGGGCTTGTATGGGTGTCGTGCTGAAGTGTGGGGGCAGGACCAGCATGGAGGCTGGTACAGCACTGGAGCCAAAGCAGAGTCAAACGCAGTGAATGTTTACCTGTATGCCAGAGGTAAGAGCCTCACTCTTCCAAACACTCCTCTTCTCATTTATTTGCACACATGTGTCCCCTGATGGGTACAACATAACTAATTCACTGCTCCAAAAAGATTGTGAGGGGTTACAGCTAAGTCAATGTGTCCAAGATTTTGAGAATAAACCTGGTGAAACAAAAATAAAGTCAAAATGGCTAATGTGGAAAAACAACATTGCACATTTAATGCATTTACTGTACATATTAGCTGCATATTCTGTGTCAATTGCCACCCTTTATATCAAGCTGTAGAGCAATAGCCTTCTGTATCTATAATTTGGAAAACTAAAGACATAGATTGGTCATCAGTACGTGTCTTCGGGACATTGATACAGAGTGCATGTGCAGTTTCAACCCTTTTAGTGGCTAAAAAAGAAAAACAAATGTTCTGCAGTGGCCTATTAAGATTTTGGAGCAACTGAGGCACAGCAGCTCAGTTGTTTTTAAACATTCCACTCATGCTTGAAAATCCTCCTATGTGGCTGCATGAAAGCAATTCTGCAAATAGGAGGGACCCAAAATCCCTTCATCACGATTTGTTAAAGCACATTGTTAGAAATCCTAAAGGCATGAGGGCAGATTATAGTGGCATTTATGTTAAAGGCGTAGTTACGTTTTCACATGGCACAAGGATGGCTTGGATGGTAAATGACATCATGACCTGAAAAGGACATTCGTAACTTCTCTGGTTTTCTTTGTCTGATGTACAAACTAGTTTGGGGATCTTAAAGGGATAGTTCGGTATTTTTGACATGAATCTGTATGGCATCCCCATCACCAGTGTCATGCAATCACACTGACTTACCCCTGGCAGCGTCCTGTGAGCAGAGTTCTCGTCCAGTTTTGGTCAAGCCGAAAGTAGTCCGGCAGGTTTGCTAGA